CGATCAGAACCTTGTGGCTGAAACTTGTTGTTCAGAAAAGGTGTGGATGAAGCACATTTTTCTTAAATTTGGAACTGAAGTACAAGCCATTGACCTTTTCTATGACCATACTTGTGAGGCTAATATTTTCAAATATTCTGTTCAACATTCTCTTAAGTGTACTAGCATGCGTTGCCATTTTATTAGAAATTTTGTTGATGATGGTTTAATTGTTCATAAATATGTTCCAGCACATAACCTTGATGCTCAAAGATTTATTTCTCTAAGGAAATCCTTAGGGATATGCACTCTCTGAATGCTTGCATGAATTTGCATTATATTATATTGTATTGTATATTAGTATATATATATTTATCGCATTGCTTGTAAGCATATAGGGTATATTGCATTAGGCATGCTATTGCATCTTGCATTCTCTTCACCACTAGATTCCTAATTGGAGTTTTGACTCTTCTGAAAACTTGAGCGATGTTGACTGTCTTAGACTGGCTGCGTGTTCTTACTATACTGAGGAACGTACTTATATTCTGTATTTTTGGTTTTTGTCACAAAGATCTGCCTTCTCATAAATGATCTAGAGCGATAGCTAGCACATGGTTCGTTTCCCAATGCGGGATCGACTGTGAAAAGAGCGTCTGGGACAGAAAATGTTGAGAAAGGGCGTAAGCTAGTGACACACATTGCATATTTATATGTGGTGTTCTTACACGGAGTAATAAGGTGGTCACCCACATAAAAACCGTAGTGCTATTAAAAAATAAAAAAAATAAAAAAATAAAAAAAAAAACGTAGGATCCTTGCTTAAAATCGTGGTGCAAAGTAGTGGGGTTGACTTTCACTATTGCAGTGATTGTTACTAAGTGAAATGCACTATGAATAATATGGCATGTGTTCTTGCAAAAATTTAAGTTGTGGTTAGCACTACCTTGTGTATATACATATATTCGTTTATCGTATGTTCCTTGGGAAGTTTGAATCTCAAAGCTGGTCACGGACTGTCTTCATCAATCTTGTTTAAGTTGATAAGGAAAAGATTTTTTGGATCTAGTGAATTTTGTGTGCGATTATATTTTTTTCATTCTAGGCATATATTGCATAAGATTTCCTTCTTTGATTGAATTACTTGGGCATAAAAAATTTGTGAGGGAATTTATTTTTGGATGATAAAAACTTATTCTTCCTAATCTTGAATTAGTTGGACACAAGTGTTAGTGTGTTAATGGGTTTGTGTGTTCAGTTTTGATGGGAATGTTCTTTTTGCATAGTATCCAACCTTTCCCTTGCTTTTTAAATCTTACCCATTACATCCTGACATTTTTTATTCATTCTGCCCTCACTATATATCTTCATTGTCGGAACCTGAGAACCCCATTTTCCTTTGACTTTCTCCATGAATTATTCGTTTAACCATTTGTGTTCCTGCATCATTTTCTAATGTGCTTCTGAAACACTTTGGCTGATGGCAAAAGCCTGGAGAAGAGATGGACAGCATATCAACGATTAGAGATCAGTTCAAGCAACGTCTTTTGTCTTCAGTCATCTTTATTTTTCTCATTTGATGTTCTTACTCAGGGGGAGATTTGCCTTTGGCATTTCAGTCTAAAAAGGGGGAGAAATATGATGTTTCTGAAGATGTTCGGGATTATGTTCTAGTTTTTTGATTCTGATTACTTATAGTTGCTATTTTTGACATGTTTCTACAGGATGTAAGAACATGTATGTTTTGCTGTTTGATTGTTTTGTCTATTCTGACAGAGGGAGATACATTGGTCACTCTATTTGACTTAGGTTCTGATATCTTGACGTGTTTTGATTGCTCTGATCATAGTCCTCATAGTTGTTTTGAAAGGAACTGTTCTGATGTTCTTACATTGCAGGTGTTTGAGTAGTTTACTTCCTGATGTTCGAACATAGATATTTTGTAGGTTATCTTCAAGAAACACGGTTTTCGAACTGAATGCCAAAGGGGGAGATTGTAAGAACATTGGGTTGGCATCATGTCCGACAAACCTAAGTGTTTCTAGAAGATTTCTTGTTAAGCAAGCAAAATAAATTAAAGGGAAGTTTTTCTATTTATTTACTTGAGATTTAATTAAGTTCCTAATATTTATTATTAATAATATATGGTATATATTTATTGTAGTATGTATTATGGAATCCTAATCCTTTAGGAGAAGGATTACATAATATATAGCCTATATATTTACTTACCATATATACCACATGCCATAATTAGTTCTCTTTTGCTTGTAGGACAAGGAATAGATGGCAAGGACTATGAAAGGATGAGCTTTCCATACAAGAAGAGTTCTGTACGTTCATGAGAAGATCTAAGGAGGATTTGGAAATATTCACCACAAGATCTTTGAAGATTTGGAAGATCGGCTATTTTTGGAAAGTCGGGTTCTTACCGGATTCTGAAAGGCAAAATTTCCATTGGAAGTTCAATTCTGAAGATCTCCAAATCACATGCACGAATTCCACATCAAGGAAACTTACCTTACATGAAAGATTTCGTCCAAATCAGAAAGCAATCAATTGAGAAGGAAATTGACTCTTAAAAGGAAAGGAAGAACTTGAAGAAGACTCCATCCTAAGGAGTTGTATATATACCCTGCTTGAAGATCGAAGATATGCTGCTGAAATAAGTATCTTCCATTCAATATTCGAGCTTCAACCCTTTTTAGTTTTGTTTTGTTCACAGTTCAGTTCAAGGGTTCTTACGCATCCAAGAACTGAAGCTGTTTAGTTTGTTTCCTTTTATTTTATTCAAACACTTTTGTGATCAGTACTTAGGGATTAAGTACAGTGGTTAGCTCGAGGGATTCGAGAGTTAGAAGTCCACGGGACGTGGCCGGAGAAGTAATTGATAGAATCGTGTGTAGTTGTGGCTAGACTAGAAGGGAGTTCGAGTCGTGTAAGTTCAAACTATACAAGTGTTCAACGGTTTATCAATGAAAGAGCTCTGAGGGGAAGTGGGACGCTTCCCTGAAGAGTTTTTACATCTTCGATTTATTGCTTCCGCTATTTACGCTGTTTATCCGCGTTCTTACATCGTTTTGCGCACTCGAGTTAAAAATATACGTTTCAAATATAAAATAAAACATAATGACTCCAATAAAATGTAGTTAAATTTATAGGGAATAACTTTCATGAAAATTTTAGTTTCATTCTCATTCCAATAAATTAAATGTAAGACAAATTTATTTTGTACAAATTTTACGGTTCCATGTTTTGTAAGTGGAAGACTTATAAAATTCTCAAAACTATTTTAAGGTGAATGGAAAATTAATTATAAGTTGTATATGGGAAATGTAAGATTGAAGCAATGAGTTTAAGTAACTCAAATTATTGGTTTAGTTAAACATTCTGTCTTTTACAAATGTTAGAATAATCCAACGAAACCTGATCATGCAGCTTGCATGCTATGACTCAAGAAGGATTCGTTGGGGACGAGTAGGAAAAACGGAACTCGATAGTATGAAAAAAAAAGGCTTTATATCCAAATAGTTAAGATGTGACCTTATGTATCGGTTGGAAGAACTAGAGAGCAAGTGATAGTAAAATAGCTATGGTAGCTTTTCTGGTGAGAGTGCTCTTTAATGACCTAGAGTGATTCTACTTTAACAATTGGATATGGAACAAAACGTATTTTTCGTTTCTTCAAACGTGGGAAGATTCGTAATTTTGGAGATTTCTCTTCACCCAAGAAATCTGGCGAAGATAAGTAACCAAGCCCATATAAATATAGCATTCCTAGTGCTATTAAATTAAACAATAGTCTAGCTCAGTTCGAGGTCGACTTGTTAGTGCTCGAATTCGGCTCGAGCTCGAGGCCTTAACGAGTCGAGTTCGAGCTCATTTAAAGCTTGGTTGATTGACGAGCCGAGCCGATAAAGCTCGTTAGGCTTGAAAATAATTTTTTTTATATAATTTTCTATAGTTCGACTATTTAAAACTTGAAATTTGTTCGTTAAGTCTTGAACTCGGCTCGTTAATAGTGATAAATAAGTCAAACTCAAACTTGTATTTTGGTTCGTTTATTTACCGAGCCTAGCTACTAGCCTAGCATTCGAAAGACCGGAGGTAGATGTTGAAATTTCAAAAACTGGCCATTTTGCCGAAAAGTTACCAAGATCTTGAAAGTGTGAGGGTGATTATTTATCATCAACAAAACCATCAAAATCATGGATCTTGAATGGCATAAGAGAGCTCATGGGTCGTTAATGGGATGTGGAGCTTAGCCACGGTTATCGTGAGTCGAATTTTGTGGCGGACTATTTCGCTTCGTTGGCGGCTAGGGGTCCGGGTGGTTTCTTTACGTTGGCGAGTCCTCCGCCAGGGTCGGCATGTGGTTGCATCATGATAGGGTTGGGATTTCGTATCCTCGGTCAGTTACTAGTTAGGCTAGCGTAGCCTCTTTTTTTGCACAAAAAAAAAATAAAAAAATCATGGATCTTGACCTCACATTTCAAAAAGCCATATTAGTAGCCATGATATCAATGGAAATAATTGGAATCAGTACAAAGACTATAAATAGTAAAAGAGATTTACTAGCAATGTTAATCATTAAACTA